CAATTTCCCACAGTCTAATAATAAGGCTCCTGCCTGTCAGCCATGTCATGGGAACTCATACACACACTCTTCATTTGGTCAAATGCAAAGTAGAAGATAAAAGATTAAGCTGCTTTCATAGTAAAAAGCAATCCCACTGCCTTTATCTGAAGTTTTGTCCAAGTAGGAAACATAGAGCTAGGTCCTTCGAAGGTTGCTTAACATCAAGGATATTAATTTTATGATTTTATAAAATGAGCATTTTAGGTATTTAAAACTGGATTATTCCTCTGCAAATTCTGTGTCATTTTGATACAAAATACGTTTGCAGAAAGTTATTTAAAAAGCTTTATGCCCAGCAGAGAATACAATGTTTTCTTAGGTAAAAGAATAGCAGTTAATTGGCATTAATTTACCCTGAAGAATTTAATAACTAAAGAGGGATTTCCTTTACTGTTTTGAAAAGGCAGTAGCATGTTTTTAAGTGTTCAGGAAAAGTTTTTTTACCTACCAGCTTTGATGACATTGGAGCAGAGGCACATACACATAACATGAACCTGCTTCATACTATAACACTATCCTCATATTTATAAAAACAGCACCATTTGTACGCTTCAGAATATATATATTCTTATAAAGCTCTATTGGTTTGTATATAGAACTTAAATGTCTAGACTCAAGCTAATAAAGTTTCTCTACAGTGCTTCTGTTGGTTCATACACACTGGATCTATTAGTAACCTTTCAAGCAAAACAGTACAGAACAAAACAGAAACCTTCATATTTAGTCTTTAAAATTCAAATATAGACTACTGCCAGATTCTTCGTTTGTCAAACCTGTCCCAGTTTTGCAAAATCCAGCTCATATCTCTCAAGATGAATTAATGGTTCTGATGGTTGAACTTTGATGTCAGACAATACAAGATGAGCTATTGACCAATTTGATTAGGATCACCATAATGTCCAAAACTTCTGAGCGAGTAGTGCGATAGTGAGACAGACTAAATAACATGAACTGGATGAAATTAGGGTCCATGAGTACAACAGTCCCACCTCAGATGTACAAGAAAAAAGCTGACAGGTGAACTACAGGTGAAAGTAATACTCTAAAGTCTTCCACACAAATACTTGTTTGAAATTGAAGACTCTAGAAGCAAACTTCTCATTCTTGGGTCTCATGCTTATATGTAAAATAATGGCAGCCTTCACATCAAGTTTGCACAAGCAGGCATTTCCCTTAAGTAGAGAAGATCTGTCAACCATTTCTATAATGCAACCCTACTAAAACTAGCAAAGGCTCTTTAGAGAGGGAGAGATGTGAACAATTTAAAAAAGTTTAATGGATGCAAACAATACATTCTCCTTCCATAACAGCTAACAGCAGCTGCATGAAGTATGAAGAAAATGCACTTTAACTGCATGATAACAGACTTGTAGGACAATGTCACAGATGAAGCACAATATTGACTGCACAAACAGAGCACCTCAAACCAAACGCTGGGTACTTCATGAGTAATGGTCAAACAAAAGATTTGCACGTTACTGGATACAAACACAAAAGCAAGGAAAAAAAGAATGAATTGAAAAGAACTGAATGATGAGTCTGTTGTGGATTCCCAAGCACCTGCCTCACATTTTTACTACTGTGTTGTGTAAGGAGGATTGAATACCAGCTGTTCAGAGTATTTTCTTTGGGCACTGCCAGCAGTAAGGGCCAGCATCGTTGTCATTTAGACAAGTCTCTCGTACTGTTATATCCTGTCTTTGCAGACAAGACAGGCATGTCTCAATTTCAGAATTCCCAGCTCCCAGAAGTCAGAAATTTAGTAAATGAGTAGCAAAATTGATGAAAAGGAGTAGGCAGGATGAAAGTGGACAGCATGCCCACAACCAGCTCTGGCCTGACAGCCTAGGACAGAACAGAGGTGTGCTGCTTCCAATAAATTCCCAACTTTTTAGATGTGTCCTATAAATCTAAGTTTTACCAATTTCATCTGGAAAGGCAGAGCAGTTGGATACAGTACACACCATTATTAAAACACATTATTAGGCTGTCTTACACCAGTGGAACCCAACAGATGCAAATATCTCCAGCAGAACTGGATAGTGTCCTGTTTACCAATCTACCACTTGGAAAGAAATCTACATTTCATTAGGGTGTGATTTTTAATGAATCTTAAGTGGAGACTAAAAAAATCAGCAGATGCTTCCTTTACAGCAATATAAGCATTTTAAAGAGCCTGTAAACGCTACCAGAACAGTCAAAGGAAAGCTCAGAAGTTAGGTACACCCAACAGAGGCAAGTCAAGAACTGCCTTCAGCTTTCCAATAAACACACACAGCATAACCTCCCCAGAAAATGCACTGCTGCATGAAATGGATAACCAGCTGTGTCTGCTCCACTTTTTGGAGAATGACACTCTCAAATCTCTCATTTCTTTCAGACCCAACCATGCCACACGATCTTCCGAGTATCCAACAGAATTAACTTCAAGCAGATAAATTTCCAATGCATGAGAAATGAACACCACCTTTTTTGAGGAGATCTCCTTCAAGGGACCCAAAGAAAAGCTTGAGATTAGGAGCACTATATTTTGCCTTTCACAACGGGGTATCACCACTAGTACATCTTCACTGAGCAAAGGCAAGCTTAAAATTGAAAAGCATCTCAGAGTAGGGCCATATAGGTGACTGCGCAGAACCTCAGCATGCCAAGTGTGTCTCACTGTGCTGCCTCTAGGAAAGCAACGTACTTCAAGGTTTACAGCATGCAGAAGGAACGTACTTCATGGATACCTGTGGTCATCATGGAAATCTCAGCTAGCAGCAAAGCACTGCTATTAACGGGCATCCACATGCAGAGGCTCTATTAGCTTGCCACTGCCCCAGCAGGGCCTAAAAAACTGCCGTGGATGGTTGCTGTATAAAGCCCAACGGCACGCAGGGACCCAGGAGAGCTCTGTGTACCTACTCTCGCGCACACAGCATTGGTCTGGCTGCAACTCCCAGTCACCCCTGCAAAAACTACACAAGTCAATGGATGAGTTAGGAACAGGGTCCAGGAATTACCCATTTCTCACAGTCTCATCTGCACGATGGTTCAACACCCACTGCACTGCAATGTGACCACAGACTTGAGATGTTTCAACCCATGGGAGAAGCACATGTGTATCAAATACATAAATAATCCCCCAAAGCACTGCAGGTAGATTTGATGTCATATGTGTTTTCAAGCACCTTCCTGAATCAAACTCTGAAAAAGTCTATCAACATACTCAGGACCAAGGTGAGTGAGAGTATTTAATGAAATGAAAAAAAAAAAAACAAACCACCAAACAAAAAAAAACGTCAAGGAAAGACAGGGACTGAAGCAGCACAATGAGAAAGCATAAAATACTGTTAGCTACTATGTTAAAGTAATAAATACAATGGAATAATGGCATAAAGATGACAGCTCAAAAGCTATCTCCATCCAAGCCAATATTACCATTTTCAAGATCCAATAAAGACAATTTCTGCAACTGAGTGCTAAAGGCACCATAAGCGTCAGACTCTCTTACTCCCGTGACAGCCTAAAAGAACAGGCTGTGGCCTGCTGTGGGTTGAAGCCACCCATCTGACAGATCCATCAGAGCTCTCTCCCACTCCCAAAGAACAAGTACTGTGTTCACAGGGAGCACATCAGAGCAACAAGGTAACAAATTACACTTTGAAAAGAATTCAAGGCTCCCATAACATATAGCAGGCAACCCAAGAGCGAGGATTTTACACACGACAATCTCCCTTCAGATGCTCAAGGCTGTTTCAAATCAGACCACACAATGTGATAATCAGCTTAAGCATATGTGATGGTACTATCCATCATCTTTTGTTCTCTCCTAAAAACAATGTTGTTCTCCACAGTGACAGCAGAACAATCACCTCTAATACTTACGAGGCACTTTACATTTTAAAAGCAACGAACAGAAAAGCACAATGTATTCATACAGAGATCATAAAATAGATCAGACACAAGAAGAACACTGAATTTGGAAAAATAATCACAATAAACATGCAATATTTTTATGAACCACAACAGCATATGCACTCAAGCGCTTTAAATTCATTTCAATATACTTGAAGAATGTATAAGATACTTCTCTATTAACAACATACTCTAAATAGAAAAGTAGCTTAAATTTAAAATACAATTGCTAAGGTAATAGATAAAAATTTAATTGACAACAGTAAAGATATTTCAATCAATTTCAGCCTACTAGTAAATTCTTTGGAGGCATAAAATAATTTACTAACTGTATTATTTAAAGTGTTCTTCCTCTACATAAGCTTCAAACTTCTGAAAACATTTCCATTCATAAAAAGGAAACAATATTTACTTGTTCAGACAGCACACTGAATACCTTTTCACCCCAATTCAGATACACAAAAGTTTATATATAATGATGCTTACTCACCTGACTTAAAAAAATGAGTCTGCTGATAAATTTGAAAATAAAAACTATTATACAGTATTTACATAACAATTACTGAGAGAAGAATATTGGAAGCAGAGTAATTAAAGCATAAGTGTAAAATGCCATCTAAGAAAGCGACTCAAAGATATTGAGGATGAAAGAGGCGAACTATTTAAGCTGCAAAATTTCTAAAATAATCCAAGGAGGTGCTCTTTTCCCTTGTTTCCAACTGACTGCAAAGATTGCTCAACTCATTTCAGGACTAAGCAGTTGATGCCAAATGAGGTATTTTTGCTGTGATGGTTATTCGTGACAACTGTTTTTGCTGCCTGATCTAATAACATCGCTCATGTTGAATTTCAAACAGAAGACATCTCATGACATCTTTAGGCCTACTTTGAAACTATAGCTCAACCTGGAAAATTAAAATTTCTCTCCTACAAACCACAATCACATTAACTTGACAGCCAAAAAGAACAAAAGTAACACGTAAACAGTTTCCTAGTCAACAGGAAAGTCCCTCTTTCAAGCACGCTGGTCAGCATGTCACTGCAGTGACTGTTCTTACCTAGTCCTATTCTGTTGGGACTTGTTTCTCGGCTGCATCCCTGACTCCGAGGGATCTTGCTGCGCTTCTCTGAAGATGATGGCACTGGCTGGACTCTGGATGTTCCACCGCTCAGGCCACCATAGGCGCTTCCTAACAGCTTACCGGGTGAACTAGACCGGCTACCAGCTAGAAGAGAACCAGAAGTAAGGTTAAAAAAAAATCCTACACAACAATTAAAAATGCCCAAGGTTTTAAATACTCCGACACCGAAACTGGAACATAATCAGCTCTAAGAATTTGATCCAAATCACTCAGAAAACTAACGGGAATGTTCCCCACAGGCTTCTGAAGAAGGTTAAGGGAAGTCCAAGGACAAAAAACACTTACATCAGCAACCCTGCCTATATGAACCACACTGCCCAGCTGGGATCAAGACTGCAGCAGACACTGCAGTGTATGAATACCCTAGCTGGCTTTACACAAGCTTGCAGGGGTGCCAGGAGCAGCCTTGCTGCAGCAGCATGGAACTTCACAGGCTGCTCATCTCCTTGCAAAGCAACACAAATTAGCCTGAGTTGTAGTACAGCAAGTTGGCTTCTGGCACAGCTAAACTGCTGTAAGGCAGCTTAGGTATCTTCATGCTACACTGCAGTGGTGGCATTACCTTTCTGCAATAATTAAGTGAAGGAAAATTAAAAAAAAAAAAAAAATCATCTCAACAGTAACAGATCAGCACAATAAAGAGTAAACCAAGCGAGCCTGTTGCATTTGTAAAGATGCTGGCTTACTTAGGTCTGACTGGTTAAACCTAAGATATTTAGTTTTCAGCTGGAAAAAATTTTTAGCAAGTTGAGTAGTTGGCCTGCTTTACTTTTCCTTGTCTGTTTGACTAGTCCATGGCAAGTTTACATTTCTTCTAAGCCATGTTATCTGCAAGACACTCTACTAGTAATCATGGTTTATTTACATATTTGCATTCCAGTTGCAGCAGATATTTCTATCTGAAATAGTCTTGCTGTCTAACTCAATGAGCTGAATAATTCTTTTTTTTTTTTTTCCTCCTGTGGATCTTAATTTTCAAACAACTTACTGAATGAAGTAATACAACCTTAAAGGTAATCACAAAGAACTGTGAGAGTAATAGACTCAAAGCTCTTTTTTGCTTCTTCAGGTGTGTAACAGTCACTGAAAATTTGCCGCTGATATTACCACTCCTGATATTCAATTTGTTTGTTAAAAGAGCCAGGAAAAGTATATTTGAAAAGGTTGCAAGAATATGCTTGGGCAAGCTCACAGAACTAATATTCATGTTGGTTTCTTTCTGACAAATACCTTCTCATCTCACAAAAATTTCAGTTTCAGATACTTTACAACTAGCAAGAGTTAAAGACTGCTGTTCTGTCTTAAGAAGATATGCAATTCTAATAATCTGCTGGACAATACCATAACACCTGTATTATTTTAACTTACTTGCCCCCCCAATTTCTCGACCAAAGTCAAAGCAATCAAATCTTACACTCCAATACTGTATGTGGTGCTGGCTCCCCCTCAAAAAGTGAGAATACTTGTGACAGATGTCTGTCTCACACACAGCATCCACACTCTGAAATTCAACACTCCTCTCAGTTACACTGCTGCAATCTCACTGATGTCAGCAGGGTTGCACTGAAGTAACTGGAAGAATTTAGCACCTGGGGTTTACAGATGGAGCAGTGAGCCAGCTTCAATATGCAGAATGTATGTTTAGCATGTTTGATTACTATGAAAAAGCAAAATCACTTGCCATACACACTTGGATTTATGACCTCAAGAAAATGCTTTTTAAGTTTCATTGTTAGGAGAGAGCAAGGGAAGCTTAGCAGTTAAAAAATGTGAAGGAAATAACATGAGAAAGCAAGAAAGGGAAAATATTTCTTACCACCAGCAGGATTAGCTGATCTGGATCCTTGATTATGAGGGCAGACCAAAGGACAGGCAAAAAGTGGATTAAAAGACAGCAAGACAATACAGCGTTCAGCATGCGGTTTATGCTATGCACAATACAGACAGATTTATTCACAAACATGTCACTCCTAAAGCTTCTGCATAACACAGTGAGTTAACATGCAGATGCAACTAAATTTCCCAAGGTTGATCAGCTTCTCAGCTAAATATCAACCAACACACCGACACTCAAGTTCCGCTCTAAATTATAACCCAGCCCAGTCTGCAAAATTGCAGCAGGGTTATCCACTGGGTGGGCATGGAGAATTTGGTCCTGTGACTGTATTCTATTTGAATTCATATGTTATTTCATGCAATGTTCAGCTTAAGGATAAAGATCACATCCGGTTGGGCTAAGCTGGAATTGGGATTCAGCAAACTAGACCCAAGGGAGCAGGTTCAGATGTGACCATCCTAATGCTTCATAAGACATCCTATAAAAAAATTAAGCCATAACCTTTGAAACCTTCTTACACTCAACTATTCTTTAAACACTTCTGAGACTTGCCTCATCTGGTCTGATCATTGTTCACCAAACTAAGTTTAGGAAAAAAGGTCATTTCTGGCTTTGGATCAGTTTTAGATTGAAAACTGAAGAAATTAATCTAGATCAGCACACCGTAGCCCAAATTCCTTCATGCCCACAACGTAAAGATTTCCATTTGGCCTCATCCTGAGCATAAAACTTCTCTCTTCAGCTCTCCCAGCCTAAAACAATGCTATAAACTGCTTCCCCATTCCTTCAGCATGACAGAGCAAAGCAATGAGAGCATGAACAGAGAAGGGCTTTTAAATAAAGGTGCAAAGCAAGATAAGTCCTCAGAACAAACGTGTCTTTCCACAAACCTCATCTCCTCTTACCCACAAGCTTGAAGGTGCTCAAAACACAGGTGCTTTTCTCCCCCCCTCCAATTCCTTTCAAAGTTTGAGTGACAAAATTCTCCTTAGATACACATGACAAATATGCAACAGCATTGTACGTATGACTCCTAGGGGAAAACCATGCCTTGCCAGGAAGCCAGAGCGTGCAAATGTGTCATATGAATCAAAGAGCAGAACTTTCTTCCCCTTATCTACAGAAAATAGATAATGTCCTATTTTAAATTGATGCCGAATCACATTAACTTAGACGGCTCACATGTTACACATACAGAAATACAGCCACATAAGCAGGCCAGAACCCAGGACAGCAGTCAGCTACAGACACAGAATGTGTCTAGTGGGACTCAGTGCAAGTTTAGTCCTACACATCACAGCAATGTGAAATTCTGCTGCATAACTGGTTAAAAAGAGCAGCATGGAAGCTCTCAGATTTGGAGCCCCTATTTGTCAGCAAGAGCACACGCTGCCTGAGTGGGGATTCATTTTATTACATGTTCAAACGTTATTTGGCAGAAGTGAGCCCAATCCTCCGCTGATGCTACCACAAGTCAAGAGAAATGTATGAATAGCTATTTGTTCTCCTCCCCCAGAAATAAAACACTTCTTACGCTGGGACTGGGAAACTACTTTAGCCCGGCTGCGGCCTCGGGTATCAGCAGGTGTTGAGGTGACGCTTGTGGCACTGCCAGAGCTCTGTCTCCTTGTACGAATCCGACCTGGAGGAAGGCAAAGACAATCAGACTGTTAATGGGTTTCTTCCAAAGGCAGCAGCAGTATCTAACATGCTGTTCTACGCTTGCAGGGCTACTATACACACAATTAACCAGGGTAAAAAGAAAAACTTTACAAGGAGAGGTAACATCTTTCATTAGACTGGCTGAGACACAGGGAAAGGAGTGGAAACAGTCACGGTCCACGAGTCTGAAAACTTCCTTGCTTTCTGTAATGCTATCAGCCAGTTTCATGAAAAAAATACTACCTCTCCTCAGCCTTTGCTTCTGTTCTGTACTAGCTTCTCTAGATAGGATCAACAACGAAAACGTCAGTCTCCTAAATGCTGCTTCCTATATCAAATTATTACTTTCTGACAAGGCGATCACCCTTTCGGAGACAGGCGTGACAGATGCCCCCACAAATTCCATCCCTGGGATTTCCAATAAGCAGTTCGGTGCTTTATATCCTGCTCTGCATGCGCAGGCTGGTGCGCACTCCTGCGAAAGTCTGTCAACGCAGCCTGACTGCGCTTTTATTTCAGGCTCATTCAATTTTCCCTGCTGTCTACAGATCCCTCGTATTTATCCCAAGATGAGTGTAACTTTACTTGTAATGGAGAGTTCCACTTAACACAATCAACGTTGTGGAAAAATGATTTTGTGTGTCTGCTCTTTATTTAAGCAGAGAATGGATACAAAGTCTCAAAGTGTTCTTGGTCCTTTTTCTGTCCTTTCCTCATGAAAAAGGGACAGAAATTTGAGCTAGAAAAGCTTACACGGTCATCAGTTCATCCCATTCCTGGGGCAGGGCTTTTTCCTACAGAATGTTCTTCCCAGTGCTAAGCTTCAATTATCTGTCTCTAGTTAATGGGAAAGAAATGATAATTAAGAGCAACACAAAGAAAGCCTCCATCAGTACTTTTCAACAACTCGGTTCTCAGCCAAATCTGAAGCTGTTTCTCAGGACTAATGCCAGTGGTATCCTGTATTCAGAGGATGACTTCAAGTTTCAGGCACAATAATAAAAGGAAAAAAACCACAACTGGTAAGAGAAGAGTTTAGACAACCGCACCCACCGGTTATAGATATTCATCTCCTGCCCTTTGTCTCCATCATAAGCATACAGACAAATATGAACATTTATTTTTATGCTTCCCACCAAAAATAAAAAAGTCACTTCACATTAAGGAATACATGCAGGACAAGACAATGGCAAGTAGCTCAGGCTGAACACATTGAGAGCTCTCTTCTTCTCTGAGCTCTCAAAATACTCATAATGTGGTCTGTAAGTTTCTGATAGACAACAAAGTGACAAGATGTTTAACTGTGAGAAGAAAGCCTAGACTTGTTTGCAGGGGAAAAGCCTAGAAGACAAGTGTATTTCACACCTCTTCACCAGCATCTAGTTTTAAAATAGCTCAGAAGACAAGATATAGGTATCTATATTCAAACAGTTGTTTGTAGAAGTGACATAAAAATCATTAGCACAAAACCAGGAAAATGCGAGCAAACCACTTTTTTAACCACTGGCTCAACTAAACAAGCTCCAAGGATCTCCACATGGGTCCAACAGTCATGAAACTGGCTGCTAAGCTCTTCTTATCACCAGCAAGGCTGCACATGTCTTGTGCCTTAGGACATTATCTGCCCTTTACAAATGGTCATTCTGATACACAACCAGAGGCAGCTCTATAGCTTTCTGCTGGCTCATTCCCATTCCTCACAGCTTTGGCACATGTGCAAGTACACAAAGAGGAGCAGAGTACCCCAAACCCCACGGCAGGCTTCAAAGCAGGCATGCATGGGGAAGGGGGCTGCAGGACCTCACACTCTCGTCAGAAGCCTCAAGGCTTCTTTTCATTTCTCACATCAGGAAGGCATCACTGGTGGCAGCAGGGGTACAAAACAGTAAGACGAGAAGTTAAACCTGACCAGTCTTAGAAACCAGTAATGGAATTAACTCACACAGAAAGCCTTGGCATTGCAGAAAGTCCTGGGAGTAAACTCAAGCTGAAATTCAACATTACGCACAGTAACAAACACCATCAGGAACACACTTAGTGATGTGTATGGGCCAAGAACAGGTGAGAAGGGACTGTCTCCCCTTCTTATGCACAGGCCACTCAAAATCCTCAAAATTTTCTGTTCTTTCTTCATCTACATCATCTTTTTTTTTTTTAACATCTTATCAGCAAGTGACTAAGAAGCATAAAACTGAGACAATATGTAATAAGTGACACTCCTACCTTAGGAAATACAAATCCTAAAATAACATATAAAGAGAAAGTAAGATTAGCTTCTGATGTCAAATCTGAGAGCTTTAAGAAAGAACACTTAATTAACACGTGATTATCAGCAAGATCAGAAATAGAGAGCTCAGTCCTGTTTTGAAACCCCTGAGAGTCAATAGACAGACTTCTACCAACTTCATTAGTTTCTGAATAAATTAATGCCCAGGAACAAAATTCAGATTTCATATTAGTCTTATGACACCCAAAAATCTATTTGCTTTACAGTAATGTAAGATGAATCAATATTTGTCTGGCTTGAAAATCTCAAGGTTTTTAATATATATTATATTAAGTACAGCATGTGTATATAAAAGTTCATCTATACAACACAAATGTGTCTACTACATTCCCTTAAGGATTTAATCTGCAAACAGAAGTCTGCATTCTCATCCAAGAGTTATTTGCACATAGGATGTGTAGCTTATCTCTATCATTCTACCCCAGATAGAAAAAACTAATTTCAAGCAAGACTGTAAATAACATATCAAGTTAGTTATCCAGACTACTCTTTTGTTATTAAACTCAAGCAAACACCTCCCCTCCCAAAGCTTCTTTCCTTTCAAGTGAGTTTGTTTCCATATCTAGCTAAAACTGCAGATGTAGCAATTCATATTTCAAAACCATTATTTTTCTGCTCCTCTTAAAAGAGTTACTGCATCCTGACAACAGCAGCACCAAGGAAAAGATAAAGACTGCCCCAACCAGTTTCCAAAAACCATAAAGTATTTCCATAAACCAGCCCTTGATCTAAACTGTACATGTGACACATGACTGTTGGTAGAGAAAGTATTTTGTAAGACTGTATATAAACGCTTTCAGTTAAGAAAAGATTTGTGGGTTTTTTTAGGAGGTTTTAGTTTTATTTTTTAAAGCTATCGTCAGTTTTTACAATCATCAGTGGATCAAAATCGACATTGAAATGTCTAACAAATGTCTAAACCTAGGAAGGCTGTTTTGTTTTGTCTTTTTAAAAACAAACAAGCAAAGGAAAATTCTATGATAATGTTTTTGCGTTACAAGAGACTTCCCCCAGCAGCACTGTTCAGAGCTCCTCTGGGAGGATACTACAGCATTTCCATCCCCAGTGCTCACAGCAGACATAGGCTTTGCGAGACTCAGCCTGTACATTACCCTGAAGAAAATGGCCCTCAAATAGTCTAGAAATGGTATATAATAGCTCCGCAATTGAGTTTAATCAGTTCCATGCTATGAATAATGATACCTACAACCACACAAGTTATATAAGGAAGCACTGGGATGGTAACTGGTCTCTCCTGGATCACGTTAATGCATTTAGGTTACTCAGCACTGTTTTTTTCCCTGCTTGGAGAAAAACGTTCCTGAAAGAGCCTGTAGGACCCCTCTAGCTGTGTCACTGCTAAATGACACATGGATATCCGGTGAGACATGCACATATCAATTAAAACCACGCTTTACATATAAATCTGAAAACAACATTTTTCAACCACCATTGGAATGGTTTCCATGCATATGTAGCACATGTCCAACATTATACTAGTATAACATCTGACTCTGCATCATAATTTCCCCCAAGAATCACTTGACCCCTATCAGAAACCTTCAGCATATGGTGCCTCTGGGTTTTACACGAGAACTAAGCAGAGAGTTGAAGGAACAATAGAGGCACCGCTTTGCCCTACACCAACAAGCACAGGCAAATCAAGTCAGCACTTGCAAAGGGATGGACCAAGAGAACAAAGAAACCTATTACCTGAGCGTTTCCATTTAAGATACCACATTCAGTCACACCTTTGAATCAACCCTGGCCCTTGAGGACAAGTGAGAGCTTTAAGGCAAAGTAGAAAACAGGAATGGTAATTTCTTAAAACTTGTGTTACTCTCAAAGCCTTCAATAAGGCTCAAGATGTCCAACTGAGCAGACCACTCTTTTTGAGCCTAAGTCCTCTGAAAACTGTAATAAACCAGATTTTATTATTTCCTTTCTGGTGAATAATAAAAACTATTAAAAATGGTGCCACTGACTCTGGAAATGGCTGATTTTGTTTTAAAATTGCCAGTTTCAGGACAGACCAGGATTTATGCTTCCCCCTTTTGAGAAAGGCTTGTCTCTATGCTCACTTTGAAAAAAAGGCAGCCAGATAACAGAAACGCTCTGAACCATTATTCTGTACTGAAAGTCAGCATCATGCACTTTTTTAAGCATTCCTTGAAAAGCTATTTTATGAAAAACATGCAGAAACTTTTCTGAGGTTTCCTTTCAATCAGGTATAACAAACATGGATTTAGGGCACAGCATATACTTGCATAGCACTAGCTATGAAGTCCTGATCAAGACTATAAAGGTTTAGATCTTACAAGCTTTCTCACTGTAAAGCTCTTAATGAAGTTCAAGAGATCCTCATACATGAAGGGTCTGGGCAATCAAGACATAATTGTGCACTGCATGAAGACACAGCCTCACAGCACAGAAACAGCAGAAGACCTGCACAGATTTAAGTGTTATACAAACTCACACTACCTTTCCATAAGGAAGTGCATTTCCACAGCATTTGTCAAATAAGATGACACTACTTAAAACCAAAGGAGAGATACTGGGCTTTTAACTTGTATTCTTGCCACCGGCATAACTCATTCTAACTTGCTCCTGTTTTGAGATGTCTGGCTCAAAAACAAAACGGTGAGGAGAACTGAGGGCAAAGCAGATGGGAACTGCCAAGTTCACACAATGCTGGCTCGGGGCTGAGGGGAAGGTGCAGAACTTTTACACTGTAGCTACAGAAAACCATGATGAGAATCAGACTGCAGATTTAATATCAAGCTGAACCACACAAAAACCCACAGAGATTTGCTCTTAAATTACTTACTGGTGACCTGCAAAAAAAAGGGGCACAGGTGTGGATGGAATTTCTGCTTCATGTTCAAAGAGTGTCTCTTGCACACACAGGTATTTCCAGAGCAAGAGGATGTTTTTCTCTTTCCCTGCCTCCGCTCCAATATTTTTTACATTTATGTCAAGAATATAAAGCTTTGCCTTCCCTGTAGTTCCTGGCAAACTCTAAGATCAGAGAGTTGGCAGAAGATCTTTCTCAGCTCTCTTCTACAGGATGCATCGAATCCTGAACAAAGGCTGATTTTCCCTTAACTGTCTCAACAAAGGAAAATAAAGATGAAGAGTCTCAAACAGTGATTAAACTCATCCTCGAGTGCTCTGGCTGTAGTGTGCCATCTTGTTATAATCCTCCCTGATCCTCACTCCCTCCAAAAAAGAGAATCCTACAGTAAAAGGAAGAGATGAGATCTGGTATTTAACACGAGGGGGATGGCAAACTACATTTCTGAAAGTTCACCTCACAGTCTTTCTCCTTAAGTGACTTGCTCGTTTCTATTACAGAGTTTTACCAAATCCAATCTGCTTCCAACATAGCTGAATTGATAAAAACCCAAATCTAATCAAATACAAAACCCCACCCTTTTGCATGATGACAATAAAGTATTTATTAAACTAAAAATAAAGGTATTCCAGAGGACAGGTATCGGAACAGGTCTCCACAAATGCTAATTACAGCCTACGAGAGGATTGAGACCCGCACAGGTTATTTCAAAGACTATTAAGCTTTCAATGTTTCAAAGTTAGGCCAAAATGGAAAGGTTTCAAAACTGGTGAGAAAGGAAGAAGAGAAAAAGAAAGGTCAGCAATGAATAAAAAAAGGCTTAGGATCACAACAATCTGGAACTTTCATCTAATTTGCCATTGATTTAGAAATACAGGTGTTTAGGCCAACTTTGTACTCCTTATCACTGACAGATCACAAAGCACAAACACTTGCCCATGATGCAGAGCCAGTTCATCTCTCAACACTAAGATTAAGTGCCAGTTCCCTTTCCCTCTAAATAATAAATCAATGCATCAATAATAGTAAGGAAAAAAACACAGACGTCACAATGGCACAGTGGCACTTCCGAGAACACCACATCCAAATACAAGCAGCCATCAAGGATACGAGCACAGTCCCACAAGACAGTAATAGATCCCTTGAAAAGAGACTTGCATCAGGAAAAAATGGGTTTGTTGGGAGGTGTGGTGTCTTCATTATGTGTAGCAGGCATTCTTGTTTTCAACTCCTGTCTACCTCAGAAAAAGTGATTTCCCAGTGATCTTTTCTGCTTGAGAGCAATAAAGAACAAGCTTTGAGAACAAGCCAGAGAAGCAGACTCGGAGCCTTCCCAAACTAGCAGGCTCAGTATTCTTGAAAAAAGCCTTTCCTCCAACTGTCTTAGATGTAAGCCATCTCGCTCAGAGTTAACAACATCAAAAGAGAGAGCTCAAGTTTAAAGAGGTTGACTAAATATTCCTTCCCTAGAGATCATTGTTTACTGTCCTCATTTTTCTGCCATGTGATCGTCTCATTCAATTCTCTCGCTGCCCAGTCTCTTCCCGAAAGCATTTGGCAGTTGCGACCTGAGCTTTGAATGGAAAAACACAACAAACCTTTACACATCATGGAGCAAGAAAACACAAGCCCTGTGTTGTTTTTTTTTGGGTGGGTTTTTTTTGTTTGTTTGTTGTTGGTTTTGGTTTTTGTTTTTTTTTTTTTAAATCTTTGCACAGGTCACCTTCAACCAAAAGCAGTGCTTTAAATAGAGACCCACAAACAGCTTTGCCATCAGAAGTCAAGTCACAAAAGTAGACTAGTGCCTATCAGGGGGAAGGAGCTTGAAGAGAAAGTGAAGAATACCCCATGGCATCAAAATGAGCAGGACAACCATGCAACACTTCATGCAGGTCACCAGTGAACATGGATGAGAACCAGATAACACTTTGAGAACAGAGACCGGGTAGGGTGGTACGACTGTGGACACACCTCATTTACACAGATAGACTGCTTACCCTCAGTTTTAGTGGTAGTACCATCTTTAGGCAAATTAAAAAAAAAAATAAGGAGAGGGTTAATAGGGTGATATTAGTAACATCAACAGAAGTGGGCACTATATATTAGCTACAGAAATATGCAAAAAAAAAATTAACACAGTTAAAGAAATGAAAAAAGTTTGAGCAGCAAATCAAAGCTTGATGTATCTGAAGAACATGCTTGCAGGCTTTCCTTCCTGCAATAACCAACCTTTGCCAAACTCCATTTTCGTTCTTTGCCTCACCATTTCTCTCATTGGAAGGTGCAGGTGACAAACGTCCCTTCTAGCTCAAAGGGAAGCAGGCTCCTTCAGGAGCAGCCATGTTCACACCACTTCGTGCATTTGCTGCTTTCCTCCTACAGTCTGTTTTAAGAGCAAGACTAAACACTGTATTCAGTCTCCCGGCTTCAAGGACAAAGCCAACTTTAGCAGATACTTCCCTCTCCTCTTCTGTTAAGGAATCATGACATAGGATTGTTCGAAAGTAGTTTTCCACTGAAGCCAGTGTGCAGCGTGACTGAAAGATGGTTGCATCTGTGAGCTCGAAAGCACTCTATTATACGATCAGCTTCATATTCTCTGTTAGGTTTTCACTACAGTGTATCTAAATCTTGAACCAAGTACGAACATTTTAAATCAGAGTAAGAACTCAACTTCTGAACCAAATACAGCCAACACATTTAAGTCAAGATAAATATTTCACATATGAAGGAAACCTGCCTACAAAAGGAATCTACAGAAACCATCCCTATATAATTCACCAAGCCTATTTTATCAGAATAAAGACCAATTCCCCCATAGTAAGGAGAAGCAAGTTTTCAACTGACTCGGAGAAGACAATCTACACTGCTTAAATCAAGATCACCAATTTCTGATTTTTCCTCCTCTTGTAAAGGTAAATCAATGAAAAGTCTAGAATTAGATTAGCATGAAACCAGTAGAACAAGAAACTAGCTCAGATGATCAGCTCTGTTCATCACTGAGTTGAAGCTCTGCAAATATGGTGTCAGTCACCACCTTGCATTTCCTCCTCCATGCCTTCTTCAATGGCATCTCCAGGAGAGAAAGAACAAAGGCAAACTTTGTTGTTAAGAAGCCTGGGGGCACCCGAAAGCGACATACGACGCTTTGAGAGAAAAACGTGACATGTGGCTATAACCCAAAAAGAGTCAGCATACGGAACAGATACTTATACCCTGTGTGGTGAAACAGGAAAGACGACTTCTCTGTCTTTTGTAAAACTGAAAGCGATCAAACTCAACTAAGATGTACTATTCAAAGCATAAAATGATTAATGGAAAAC